AGCTGTTTGCGGCCGCTGGGGTGCCCTGCTGTAGTTTAGGACGGGTGATCGAGGAGAGGACGGTGACGGTGCGACTGGACGGAGAGCTGGTGCTGGAGACGGAGCTGGAACGAGTCGCCAGGGACTGGGAGGAGACCAGCTACCGGCTGGAGCTGCTCCAGGTTAGAAACAGGAGATGGGGAGAGGCGAGGGGAACAGAGGGATTGGGAGGAGACCAGCTACCGGATCGAGCTGCGCCAGGTCAGAAACAGGCGATGGGGGAGATGGGCTGAATTCGAACTCGACTGAGGTCCTATATGTAGGTCGGCCTCGGCTGTATTATTTTCATGCGTCTGCGCCTTCTGCTTTGATTCAAATCAACTATACCGCTATAATGTCTCTATTTTGTTTGTTACATATTCGTAAACCACAGCCGCACTCGGAACGCTAGTTTGACAATGCCTGGCTGTCTTCACAGGTGACTCCGTCCTGCGCGGAGGCCGAGTGGGAGGAGGTGGGCCGTCGCCAGCTGCCCAGCTACTGTGTCTCCGAGCAGCTGCAGCTGCCCAGCGGCCCGCCGGCGCCAGCTCCGCCAGGTGGGTGACACACCGTTCTTTATGTATAATTATCATTATCATTAGTCTTTCATCAAGAACAAAACATGAAAGATACCTGGGTATAGCGTAGGGACATTGCAGGAGCGAGGGATGGAAGGTGGCCGTTCGCTTAGCCATGCTTTCTTCAGCCGGCACAGCTTATGCTTGTGTGTTATATACCCTCCTGCTAGCATAGGTTGGATACTGACCGGGTGTTCACGTTCTCAGGTGGTCCCCTGGTGGCCGTTATCAGAGAGGAAGGTGCCAACGGCGACCGGGAGATGGCAGCAGCGCTGGACATGGCTGGATTCGAGGTGAGACCTGCTGTACTGATATTACCACTCTTACGGTGGCAATAAATATTCACTAGTGCAACAGCTGTGGGTGCGTCTCGACGTCGTCCGCTTTTGTAGACTGTAGTCTCGTATAAATTTCTAGAAATTAGTCGGCAGGCCTCAGACAATCATTGTATGCAACTCATGTATGTGCAAATCCTCACGTCATATCCACATTAATTAATATTTTCTGGAATATCAGGAATATGGCATATCTTTGTAATGCTTGAATAAGACGCTTGTTTTGTAAGACGCAATGCAATAAGCACTTCAAGTTCCCATACGTCCATGCATGGTGGAGGAAAAATGTGTGTGTTCCGGGCCAGCATTCGTTGATGTTATTTGACGTTTTATGGCATTTGGTGACCTCTGCCGCCTTGTGCAGGTGTGGGATGTCACGATGACTGACCTGATGTCGGGCGGCGTCACCCTGCACCGGTTTATTAACTGGTTTTCCCAGGATATGTTGTAACTGTGACTCTCTGTCATACAGGTGTGGGATTTCACGATGACTGACCTGATGACGGGCGGCGTCACCCTAGACCGGTTTATGAACTGGTGTTCCCAGGATATGTTGTAACTGTGACTCCCTGTTATACAGGTGTGGGATGTCACGATGACTGACCTGATGTCGGGCGGCGTCACCCTAGACCGGTTTATGAACTGGTGTTCCCAGGATATGTTGTAACTGTGACTCCCTGTTATACAGGTGTGGGATGTCACGATGACTGACCTGATGTCGGGCGGCGTCACCCTAGACCGGTTTATGAACTGGTGTTCCCAGGATATGTTGTAACTGTGACTCCCTGTTATACAGGTGTGGGATAATATATTCCTGCCCGGGGCCGGGATGATTCAATAAATGTCACCGAGGTTTTTTAGCGAAAACTCCGAGGGCCGTTAGGCCCGAGGTGATTTTGCTAAAAAAGCGAGGTGACATTTATTGAATTCCCGGCCTTAGGGCTGGAAGGTGTTTCCCATACCTGCCAAAAAGCTCACAACTATATGATAGTGACGTCAGCAGCCGTGTGGTTCAACGTGTTTAACCACACCCCTTGAACCACACGGCTTGTAATATTAAAGCATTGCATTAAACTTTGAAAAGTGTGGTACAGTGCACGTGCCGTTTATATGCCTGGATGTCTCGATTTAATCATGCAATGTAGCAGGCATGGGAAGTCACGATGACTGACCTGATGTCGGGCGGCGTCACCCTGGACCGGTTTATGAACTGGTGTTCCCAGGATGTGTTGTAACTGTGACTCTCTGTTATACAGGTGTGGGATGTCACGATGACTGACCTGATGACGGGCGGCGTCACCCTGGACCGGTTCCGTGGCCTGGTGTTCCCTGGCGGGTTCAGCTACGCAGGTGAGGAATCGGCCTGCTCTCCAAATATCAGCTGTTCGATACAAAAATGGAAATTTGTGCCAGAAAATTTTTGTTTCCCATTGCAGGAACAGAAACGCGCTAGCTCTCTGTCTTACGACATATCGCCCACCCCACCTCCACCTGCCCTCTGCCTGGACCTACACAATGACCTGTGCCCTGCCTGACCTGTACCGGCCTGACCGGCTACCTGACCTGTGTCATGACCCGTGTCCCGAACTGTGCCCTAACCTGTGCCCTGACCCTTGCCCTGACCTGTGCCCTGACCTGCGCCCCGCCTCCCCACCAGACGTGCTGGGCTCGGCGGTCGGCTGGGCGGCCTCCATTCAGTTCGAGCCCCGGCTCAGTGAGCAGTTCGAGGCGTTCCGCCGCCGAACCGACACGTTCTCCCTGGGTGTGTGTAACGGCTGTCAGCTGATGGCGCTGCTCGGATGGGTCGGGGGCGTCACGCAGGGAGGTGAGTTGGCCGAGGCTGCAGGAATGAGGATGTACTAAAGTGATAGATGATACTCGATTTAATTTTAAAAAACAAACCATTTTTGGAGTTTAAGATACTGTAACACGTAGTATTCAGGCGTCTGGCGTTCAAAGGTAGGTAGTTATGTACTTTTCTCGCAGTCGGTTTATCCATTGCTGCAGATGGATCGAAAATCATTTAATGTTTGTCTTGGTCGTCGATTTGGTTATAAAAAATTGTAGTCAGAGAAGTGAACTTAAGCTTACACGTTTTTCTGAAGTTTTCGGTTTATTTAGCTGATACGAAAGATGCACACTTTAATTTGGATTATTAACCAGTTGTTTCTGACACATGTCCCTCATTCCGAACTTCGTCCCTTTCAGCCCCGGGCGGCAGCAGAGATAACGAGTCCAAGTGGAAGGCCCACCTCACGGAGAACGAGTCGGCTCGTTTCGAGTCCCGGTTCAGCGCTGTGCGCGTACCGCCCGACTGCCGCAGCCCGCTGCTGCTGGGTCTGCGTTCGGCACGTCTCGGGGTGTGGTCCGCACACGGCCAGGGTCGATTCGAGCTGTCCGGCGGGCCGGCACACCTGGAGAGACTGAGAGGGGACGGTCTGGTGGCGATGGAGTATGTGGATGATGGTGGCGAGGTCACCGACCGGTACCCGCACAACCCCAACGGTGAGTCGCGCTGGGGGCCGTGGAGTGAATCTATGGATCGGTTGTGGCCGCAACGTGCCATGCATGTGATGGCTTGGAGTTGTTGCCTTTTCTGTCATGCATTTTTTTATAATCGATATAAGCTTTTAATTGAAGCTGACTATATTTCCACTTCTTTCAAAACAACCACGGAACTGTTTTGGCTGAAGGTGACCTAAAGTAACACAGATTAATGCCAATTGCTGCTCTCTACCCATCAGACTCCCGCTGACCGCTCTTCCCTTGTTCTCCCCCAGGCTCCCCGGTAGGCGTGGCCGGCCTGTGCTCCCCGTCTGTCAGACTCCCTTATGACCGCTGCTCTCCCCCACCCAACAGGCTCCCCGGGAGGCGTGGCCGGCCTGTGCTCCCCCGACGGCCGCCACCTGGCAGTGATGCCGCACCCGGAGCGCTCTGTCCTGCGCTGGCAGTGGCCGGTCGAGCCGCCGCCATGTGCCGGGGACTCGCCATTCGCTCCGTGGTTCCACATGTTTACCAGCGCGTACCAGTGGTGTACCGAGCCGTCAGACCACTGAGACAGGTCAGCACTCCGAGACAGGGGCGAGCGGGTTACGGGAACGGTGGGACCAGCGGTGACGTGATTTTGGGTAAGTCTGGGTGGTTAGTATTGTGAGTGGATGCGGTGGAAGTCAGGAGTAAATGTTGGCATCGATACGTTGCGAGCAATATGGAAGTAACAGTTAATGTATCTGGCGTTGATCGCCTGCTAGAGATGTTGGTTTTGTTATTCTGTCATGTGAAAAGTAGGTGGAAAATACGTTGTGAAAGGTTGTTTTGAATTTGCAGGCATGTGCCTTATTCCTGATCAATATACACATTTCAGTGCGCTTGTGATCGAAAGCTCTTATTGCCTGGCCTTCTCGACGGGACTATAAGATATCGATGTACTGTCATTTTTTTTTTTTTTGAACATCACCAAATATGAGGAATTTAACAAGATATTGGGATTGTCCATAAAACTGCGTAATTTTAGCATGAGGCATTTCCTCAATACCGGAGTGAGTTTTTGTAAGTTCAGAGTAAAGTGAACTGTCTAATTACAGGAAGCATTTCTTTCGGACCCTTCCTACAGATAGCATAACTTTTGGCGCCACATGTAAAAGACACCGAACATGTGTTTTGGTGCCCTGAAGTGTTTAGCTGTCTCGCTTGGGTTCGATCGGGCAGAAGAAAGAAGGCAGCGTTGGACGGTTTTATTTTCAATGAAACACACTGATAAATATGTTCCTTCTTGACACGCGTCATTTGGGCTCCCCGGAGCTCGTGACTTGGATAGCATATCTTACAACATCGCATAAGCTCCCCAATCAAATCTCCAATCAACAATTTGCTAACACAAAAAATACGGGCTGCTTATAGAAGCCTTTGGTCGACACATTCTCAACATTGGACGGACTCGTATGGTCATCCGGTAAGCACGCTACTCCGCCCACCGAACAACCTTCAGAAATCTCACAATTCAAATCACCATAGTCCACCTGAAAATACACAAACCCCCTCCCGACGGGCCCGGCCCCCACCCAGCCTCTCACAAGGAGAGCGCGTGTGTGTGCTGGGGCCCGCCGTCACCGCCGTTCGCTGGGGGACTGGCCGGCCGGGTCTGACCGTCCACGCTGTGACGCCTGTCCTTCCCTCCCTGACCTCCCCCGTCGGTACCGGCGGGGCGGACGCTGAACGACACTTGGTAGCGTCGTTTGCCGTCGAGGGGCGCCGTCGGCAGCTCGACGGTGTGCCGCTGGGCGCCGCCGTTCAGCTCGAGGCGCAGCGGCCCCACCTGACCCGCGGTGTGCCCGGCCGAGGGTCGGGAGGCGGCCGATTCGATCCGCGGCAGCTGGGTGCGCCCCGGGGACTTCTGCGGGCCCGGCTGGCCGGGCTTGTTGACTGTGGCGCAGATCGGGGAGTGGGATCAGGAGGCTGCCGGGCGAGGCTCCGCCCAAGGGAATGAACTACTGATGCCTCACACCACTGCTACCTCGATACATACGAACACCGATGCCGGTAGTTGTGTAACAGGCATGCTTACAAACGAATGCATCAAAACCACACCGTCCGTAAGGACGCACACAGAACTAAAACATCGTGACTGCCGCTCCTCATAATAAATATGCTGCTGTGAAAAGCGCTTCACAGACAGCCATTTGTTTCATATACCCGTTAAATTCTGCATCACATATAAACTCACTTGTCTGGTCATGCTTTATGCTACCATGCATCTATATCACAGCCCACATTGCACACAGTGTGCAGCCGACACGGCACCTACAGAACACTCCCCGCACCTGACTCCCTATACATAATGGTGACACTTCCCGCAGGGTATATAGGGCAGACTGCGCGCCGACCGGGCCCCCTCCACCGCGCCGCGGTACTCACTGTAGGCAGCGCACGGGACGCCTGTGTAGGCGTGGGCCGCGTGGTGGCACCGATACGTGCTCTGATGGCAGTTGAGCGCGTCGGTGCCCGTCGAGCCGTGGTGGCGCTGGCTGCGCTGAATGCGCGCCAGGTCATCGGCGCGCCGCAGGCGACGGGAGGGGCGGGAGGGCGACTGCAGGCGACGAACCTGGTCTGTAGGGGTCAGATGGGGTCAAATGCCATCCGAAGAATGGATAGTTGCCAGTGGTCGCAATTACTTGATCAAAGGGAACCATTATAACAGCAATAGCTTCCAGGTCCCAAGAAGCTGACAAAAACCAATAGGACATGGCGCCCCCCCCCCCCTATTTACCGTTTTAAGTACCAAATACTAAGTAAATACCTACATGGTTGAGTCTTTCCGACGCGAATAATACCGAAAGTAACGACGGTATTCTTTTGCCAAATCCCAGCATTCACTGCATCATTGATATCAAATCGGCACGTGAAGCACCGTACCGGCGCGTGCAGGAGGCCATGCGTTCTTCTAATCGTTCATAGATGGCGCTAGTATCTAACGCCTGACAGGTTATACTGTCCCGCACTACTTCAAACGCGAAAATGCCTCAACAATAGGTGGTCCGTGCTCAGTTCTCGCTCAGCCAACAGAAAGGAAAGCAAGCGCATGATGCCATGATGGCTGGCTGGCTAACTGATGATAGGTTTTGGATTTCTCCCGGTATCTCGGCTGTCCATTGATGAGGGATTTACCCACCGTTCAGGTACTGTTCGTAGTCACGGTAGGTGAGCGGCCCCGTGTACCGCGCCAGCCCCAGTCGAATCACCCCCAGGTTGAAGTTGTCCGACAGTCTTCTCACGAACGCCTCCTCATTGGTTTTGACGGCCCGCATCTGCACCCGCTTCAGCTCCAGCAGGTCCTGGAAAATACGCTTTTCCGCCTGGAACCTGCGGCGGAGAGACGAAAAATGATCGTCGTTACGGTCCAAACTCCATAGACAAGCGGACATACGGTTTTACAAGAGTTAGGCGACGAAATACTCAGCTTAATTATTAACCCGCGCCGGGCCGGTGCTCTGAGATTCCGCGCCGGGCCGGGGGGGGGGGGGGGGGTGTCTGAACACCCCCCCTTCTAACTCGGCTCCTGAGCCACGTAGCGACACGCGGTAAGCGGCAATCGAAAGAACGTCCAAAATAAGGACGAAAACACTTCGGTCATTTTTTGGGTCAGGTCAAAGGTCAGGTCACCAGAGGTCACCAAAGGTCAAATGTCCGCTATTTCAACATTTTGGAAACTGCCAACGGCTATCTCGGGAACCGATAGAGCTACAGCGCCGCGGAAAAGCGCATTCGATAGCCCTTTTACAGACCTTTCTGAGTAATGTTCTCAGATTTGACCTCAGGTCAACGGTTTAGCCTCCACGGGGCAAAAACTCCAAAAATAGCCGTTTTTACGAAAAACGTTTTTTCGGCAATAACTTTTGACTCAAAAGAGTCATGACATTACTTTTACCACCATCGTGTTCCTCTCGTCGAGACGCGTCGAATGAACTATAATTTGACCTTGAAAGGTCAACTTGAAAATTTGACCTCAGGTCAAGGTCATGACCTGACCGGAAAAGGTCATGTTGCATATCAGTCGATCCGCAACGTCGAGCCGAACACATCTAAGGCGTTTTCAGCGCTCTAGCACGTCTCTATCAGAAGTTATTAGCGAAAAACTGTTAGATTCTGTTCGTGACCTGAGATGACCTCGGGGACATAACGAGGGGTCAGAGTTGCCATTTTCCGGTTCAGTGTGTCCATTTTACCTACATCTCGATGTTTGAGAGTGTCTAGAATAACGTTCGTGCAAAACAGACGCTTTTTCAATTTTCTCCCATTGACTTATAATGGAGAGGTCGCAAAATTGACCTGACCTTAGGTCACCGATATCAAAATTCCGAGATATACATTTTATAGATATTGTTGCTCTAATCAATCGCTGAAAGTTTCAAGGCAATCGATCAATCGGTGTAGCTATGACGAGCATTCTTATTTTTTCTGAGGTGAGGTCACTTGGCGTGACCTGGTGACCTGACCTAAGGTGACCTGGGTCTGAAATTTTCACATGTGCGGAAAAGATGCACGAACAGGTGTGCCAAAAACGGCGGCGCTCCGCGCCGCCGTTTTTGAGATATCTGCGAAAAACCGCAGGGGGGGTGTTCAAACACCCCCCCCCGGCCCGGCGCGGGTTAACCCGCGCCCTGCTGGGGGGGGGGGGGGTGTTTGAACACCCCCCCTTGTGGTTTTTTGCGAATATCTCAAAAACGGCGGCGCGGAGCGCCGCCGTTTTTGGTACACCTTATCATACATCAATTCTACACATGTTGTGAAAATTTCAGACCAAGGTCATTCAAGGTCAGGTCACCAGGTCACTTGAAGTGACCTCACCTCATAAAAAGTTTCAATGTCTGTCATAGCTACACCGAGTGACCGATCGCTTTGAAACTTTCAGCGATTGCTAAGAGCAATAGCATGTACCAAATGTATATCTCAGAATTTTGATATCGATGACCTAAGGTCAGGTCAATTTTGTGACCTCCCCATTATAAGTCAATGGGAGAAAATTGAAATGCGCCTCTTTTGGACGAAAGACATTATAAACACTCCCAAACACTGAATTACAAGTGGTTTAGACACACTGAACATGAAAATGGTGTCCGTGACCCCTGTTTATGCCCTGAGGTCATCTTAGGTCACGATTGGTATCTAACAGTTTTTCGCAAATAACTTTTGAAAGAGGCATGCTAGAGCGATGAAAACACCTTAGATGTGTTCAGCTCGACGATACGGATCGACTGATATGCAACATGACCCTTTCCGGTCAGGTCATGACCTTGACCTGAGGTCAAATTTTCAAGTTGACCTTTCAAGGTCAAGTTATAGTTCATTCGATGCGTCTTGATGAGAGGAACACGATGCCGGTAAAAGTAAGCTCGTACAAGGCTCGGGTCAAAAGTTATTGCAGAAAAACTGTTTCCGAAAAAATCGGTTATTTTTGCAGTTTTTGCCCCCTGCAGGCAAAACCGTTGACGTTAGGTCAAATCTGAGAGAATTACTCAGAAAGGGCGTTAATAGGGCTATCGAATGCGCTTTTCCGCGGCGCTGTAGCTCTATTGGTTCCCGAGTTATGCGTTGGCTTCTTGGAAATTGTCGACATTCGACCTGGAAATCGGCGAAATTTTGCCTTCAATGACCTCTGGTGACCTGACCTTTGACCTGACCAAAAAATTGACCGAAGTGATTTCGTCATTATTTTTGACGCTCTTTCGAACGCCGCCTTCCGCGTATCGCTACGTGGCCCAGGAGCAGAGTTAGAAGGGGGGGTGTTCAAACACCCCCCCCCAGCAGGGCGTGGAAATCCAGGACCCCCAGCCGGGCGCGGGTTAAGTAATGGGCACCATTAGGTAGGCCATGCAATTTTCTGTAGTACCGCATAGTCGCTGCAGTCAAAGGTGTTCTGGTTTTTATGCTATATGCCAAAGAATTTTTGCGTGTAATCACCGGTGACACGACATATTTCTGCTTTATTGGGTTGGGCGGTGAAGTCGATGACGTGATCACAATGAAAATGGTGGCTTAGTTTTGTAGAACATTGAATTCTGATTGCGGCACGACTCTCGCTAGTCCATTTTTTATTATAAATAAACCATTAATTGCGGTACAAAGTCAAAACTAGCCCGAAACATCGCCCGCAGCGGCCGTTAGCACAGCGGCCTTATGGTAAACAGGTTAGTTCACATTCCCGCCGCTATGCGAGTGGCGGCGGCGCCACCTGTCCTTATGTCCGCCTTGGACCGTAACGTCACGTTATCTACCAATGATTTGAGCACCGATAATGATAAGATAATGGATGCTTGTGAAAAATATTACAAAATTACGCAGATCTCAAATGTGAGTCATGTTGGACGTTGTTCCAGTGAAAGTAACTGAGTACTTGGCTCGTATTGTCTATGTTCAGTAAATCCGTCTTGCTGGACAATTTTCTACCCTCTACAGCCAATGACTTTATGATTCGGGGTGGAAACTTGCGATGCAAGGCACAGGGTGAAAAACAACATTTAGACTGATATTCCCAGTACTGCTAGCAAGCGTGACGCTGACGTTCTCGACTGACCTGAGCGGGTTGCCGGTGGCGCGTCCGGGCCAGGGCAGCACCTCTGACCCGGTCCTGTCCTGCTGCGGCCGCCCCAGCTGGGTCAGGTCCCTCTCCAGCGTGCCGACTTTGCCGGCCTGCGCGAACCGCTCCTGGTCGGCCGGTTTCCGTCGCCCGCGGCCGGTCCTCCTCACAGTCTGAGAGGGACCTATGGGAACCGGCAGGCGAGAACGGTGACCCGAGCGACCCGTGTGAGTCGAGCCCGGGTCACTCCCTGAAGAGGACTCGCCGTTTATATCACCGTTAGGCTCACTGACATAGTCACCGTTCTGGTTGGCATCTTGGCTTGTGTTTGAGTTCTGCTCTGTGGCGTTTTCGGAGGGGTTATGGCGTTGGCGACGACCAACAGAGGGTGATGACTCAGCTTCGGTGGCATTCCCATTGTTTAGGCGCTGATTGGTGGAATCAAGAGAATCTTGCTTAGAAGGTGGGTCTTGGGAGCTATGTTCGGCGTTGGAATCGAGGGATTCTGCCTTGTGGCGATCTATAGATTTATGTTGTCCATGTGAGTCCAGGGAGTCCGTCTTGCGAGGTGAGGTTGAAGGTTTTCCTTTCGAATCTTTTGAAGATGATTTACTTAGGGACTTAGACGATGGTAACTTGTCAGATTCTTCTTGCGATTTTCTTGATTTGCCTGTATGCCGATCTTTACCTTTATCTGCGGCACCTGAAACATTCTTTGTAGTTGTAGATTCTTTGGAGCTTTGCTTTTTCCTTTGCTCGGACCGATGTCCATTGGCTGTAGCCACTTTGTTTTTAGAGGGAGAACCTTTTGCATCATGCTTGTCATCAGTCCCTTCGTTGATGTCCCCATTTAAATGCTGGTCAGAGGGCTCGTGATCGGCAGGGTTTCGACTTGATTCAGAGTTGGTAGGTGGATTTTCTGCTTGTGTTGGATCTTCAGCCTGTTTCTTTTTACGTCTTTTGGAAGATGTTACTTCTGATGCATTGTTATCTTTTGCCTTTTTCCGTGGAGATGATTTCGCTTTTGTAGACTGTGCTTCGTCGCCATCTGCAGCATGTTCATTTTGATCCTCTTCTTGAGATTCTCCGTCGGGACTGTCCACAAGTTCACCAGAACGCATGCCACTATTCACGCCGTTTTGTAACTGACTTTTGGTCTTACTGTTACTACCATCTTTTAACACCACTTCACCTCCGTTTGTGTCGTAACTCTCAGTGCGATGCACCTCGGCTGTGGTGGTAATCACCGCTCCTTTGACGGTGGTCTCTCCGCTGCTGTCTGCCCTCCGCGGCGGCACGTCGGACACCGAGGCTGCCTCCCCCTCTGCTCGAAGCCTCACGACAAACTCCTCACTGGCGATACCCGAGTCCATGCGAAGGGAGCCCTCCTCGCCGTCTGCGACAGCGCCGGCCGCGTGCACCACGGCCCCTGCCTTCATCCGCACCAGTCTCTCTTCCGTGGGGCTGAGGCGGCCGCTGACACCCTCCTCAACCACCCGGCGCCGGGACCTGACCCCCTCGAGCTCGTCCTCCGGCCCGGACGCCAGTCGGCCGCGCGTCTCACCGCGACTCCGCCACACGGTCCGCTCGTCCGGGTCGTCTGAGGAGTCGTAGGACTCTGAGCGGGGCCGGCGGCGCAGCGGGCGCCGGCCGCGGCGCCAGTGGTGGCGCCGGCCGCCCGCCTCCGACCACCAGCGCTCCTCTGCGCGGCTGTGCCGCAGCGCCGACGGCCGCTCGGAGGCCACGCTGCCGCGCCACGAGCCGTCGTCGGACGGGTCGCTGGAGCGGTGCCGCCGCCGCCGCCGGCGATCGGTGCGCCACTCCCAGCCGTCGCCGTCGTCCCGGCGCCGGCGCCAGTGACGGTCATAACTGCGCTCGCCGTGCCGCCGCCGGCTGCGGCCGTGGCTGGCAGCCCACGCGGTGCTGTCGCTGCTCAGGTGTCGCCGGTGCCGCCGGCCGCCGTCGCTGCTGTACTCGCCCTCGCTACTGTACCGTTCCTCCGGTCGCCCCTGCCGTCCCGCTGTCGGTCACGGCTCCAGTCCCGAGCGCGGTCACCGCTCCTGTCCCTGCCCCTCCGCTTCCTGTGGTCTCTGCTCCGCTCTCTGCTCCTCTCTCTACTCCGCTCTCTGCTCCTCTCCGTGCTCCTTCCATCACTCCTGTCCCTACTTCGCTCCCTACTTTTATCTCTACTTCTCTCTCCTCTCTCCCGGCTTCTTTCTCTGCTCCTTTCCGGCGTCTTTTCACTCCGTCCTCTTCTTGACTGATCATCACGCTCCTCGTCTTCCGTTTCGTACCTCTCATCAACATACCTCGTATTGTGCTCCCTCCTCAACCTCCGCCTCACTACTTCGACATTTTGCACGTCATCCTCACTCTCCTCTCGAATTTTCAGGGTGCCCGGGTGACGCCGTCGCGCGCTGCTGTCGGTCGGGGGGTCGCTGGGGTCCCGGAACTGTCGAATGTGCACCTCCTCCGTCTCGTGGTGATGCCGCTGCCGGTGTCTGGACTTGGGCTCATGTCGACGTCCTTTGGAGCTGGATTCGGGAACGTCGAGGCGATCGGTCATCTCCACCTGTGTGAATAACGGAGAGATGTCACTAATTTACCAGCGAACGTTCACGATCGTAAAGTCACACACTTATGAGAGAGGTACACACTTTCGGGAGTTCTACGAGAGTTGTACTAGGGTCGTGCAGACAAACAGCGAATCGAGCCTCACCGAATGGCCAACGATCGCCAAATGTCCGGCGGGATGTCAATTACGGCGCGGTTTCAGCGGAGACCGTCGCTCCATTCGACTGTTTGATCGATTATTTGGTGAGTGAGTGATCGGCCTGAACGGCCTCTGCTGCATTTGGAGCTGTCGCGTGATGGCGGACAGTCTGACAGGACGCCTCCCCGGGTGATTTCTACACACGCGGCCGGAACCGATACACAAACGGATGGAACGGTCGGTGGGTGGGCTGGTCCAGTTGGGATCGTTGAGATTTAGAGCAAAATGATATAAATGCAAGCTAAAAATGATATGTCAGAAAATCGATTTCAGCAATAGAATGGGGAAACTGAAGTGCCTATAAGTTGCCTGTGAGCAATCTTCCGGATATCAAAATAGGTTAAATTGCACCGCTCCCCATTCACCTACCTGCACTCCCATGTGTTCCGTGCTGCGCCGGTCGGTCTGCATCCCGCCCTCGGTGACGTCACTGGCGGCGCGCCTGACGTCATTGGGGGACGGCGGTATGACACCGACGGGCGCCGGTAGCGGCGAGCTGGCGGCAGTGGTGATCTCGGAGCGTCTCTGGGTGCCCGGCACGGAGACAGACTCGTCTCCGGAGAGGTGCAGGTAGGTGTCCGGGGTGACCACGAACGCCCGACCCGTCTGACCCTCCGGCAGGGCGCCGCTGCTTGGAGGGCAGAGACAGGGCGCTTATGACGGTGAAACTTGGTACACAGGATACAGAACATGCCTGCCTCTGGTGTTGGCTGAATGATTGTTCGGGATTTATCGATCATTTCCGATACTATTTTTCATTCTTTTGCATCGTCTGTGCTTCATTCATTTTAATTCAAAATCATTTACAAATATATTGGGTTTTGCCAAGATGCCTATGAGATAAATAAAAAGTAATGTGCTTATTCACTCCTCTACATAATTGCTGATCAGCAAATATGTGCTCCAGCACACAGATATATCTCCCAACAACTCCCCGCCCCCATCTCGTCCGTCACTCACTGTTGCAGCGCCTTGACCAGCGAGCTCTGGTCGGTCAGCGTGCTGGCCGGCGCGCCTCCGTGTAGCTGCAGGTACTTGGCACAGCTCTGATTGCCCCGGTACAGCGCAGAGTCCAGCGGGGTCATCAGCTGGCCCTTGCTGGAGCGCATGATGGGGTTGACGTGCGCGTGAAGGTCCATCAGAACCTGGGGAGAGGGAAGACGAGGATGTCTCTTGACGTCCGGGGACTGACTTTCAAATTGGAGTATTCTAAAGCGTCTGTGCTGCATCCGAAGTTGGTATGGCGATATCTCATCACATCAGGATGTCTAAATGAAACTTTAATCTTGAAGGACGTAGTTGTTTGTTTAAGGTTACGTATGGTTACGTCTATTATGTACGGGGCAAACGGTGTGTCTCGTGCCAATCGTGTTCTCACCTTGCACATTTCGATATTGTTGGTAATGGCGGCTGTGTGCAGGGGACATCTGCCGTCATTGTTGGGCTGGTTTACCGCTTCTGGACGCTGTTGTAACAGCCACCTGCGGCAAACGGTGGACGTTAGTCACTAAAAAGGAATGCTGACTTTTTACGGTTATACCGCGTTTATCCAAACTTGATTTTACAGTTGAAACTGTTTATCTAAACTAAGAACTTGGCAACGTTTCTTTCGAACAATTTACATATCTTCAGTAAGCTCCAAGTGTTCCCCCATTCTCCTTACCTGACCAGTTCCTTCCTGCCCGACTGGACGGCTTCATGCAGCGGCTGGTCACCCTTCACGTTCCGGATCCACAGGTTGGCCCGGTGTCGACCTAGCAGCTTCACAGTCTCAATCTGACCCTTGGCGGCCCCGCAGTGTGCTGGTCTGCAATGGATGGGATGGGAGAAAATGGTCATGGAATTATTCATACCACATGGTTGATCATACACGTCCTTACATATTCAGCGTGTGACGTTCGCTTTTTTCTATATCTTAAGAGGAGTACGAACGGAACGGCTGAAAACATTCTAGCTATGAACGGCTGTTCTCTAAGCTCATTTTCAATCACATGAATCCGTTCCAACCCTAACTAGACCTCGTCGCGTTCTCTCCAGCCCCTCTGTCACTCACGTGCGTCCCTTGCGGTCCTGCCGGTTGGGCTCTGCGCCGCTCTTGAGCAGCAGCTCGGTGCAGTCGGCATGTCCCAGGGTGACGGCGTAGAAGAGCGGCGTGCAGCCGTTCCCGTCGATGACGTCTACGTCAGCGCCGCAGAGCGAGATCAGCGTGTCGATACAGTCGGTGTGGCCGCGGCTGGCGGCGCAGTGCAGAGCTGTCGGTGAGGGGGGTCAGGGCGGGTCAGGACGGGTCAGGAGAGAGGTCAACTGTGTCAGAGTGGTCAGAGCCAAAGACAGTGACTCGGGTCATAATTATGCAGCACTTGGCAGGTTTAACGTAAACAAAAACGACGGGTTGTTCTTCTGCACTTCGCCCTCTGTCTTTTCTTACAGATTAGCCCGTCCCCTTTTACTAGTAATTCATTGCTTTCTCACTGTGAACCCCGTCCTTTTTCACCATTGAACCCGTCCTTCTAGCCGGAGCTTCGTCGACTCTAACCGGTGAGGTCGTCCTTTATTACCGGCAACCCAATTCTTTCTGAACGGCAGCCCCGTCCTTTCTCACCGTTAAACCCGTCCTTTCTCACCAGTGAGTCCGTCCTTGTCCCCAGCCGACACGCTGGCCCCGCTGTTGACCAGTGTGACCAGAGCATCCGCGCTGCCCGAGGCGCAGTACGTCTTGGATGGACGCGTCTCTGTAGAGAGAAGCAATCGTGCTGCTTGTAATGTTAGATCTTGGTGAAGATGACAGAATTTTAGCTCTGAATAACATCATTTTATTACTGAATAATTACGGCAACTCTAGCTATTTTGCTATCCCGCATTCTGCAGGTCATTCTACTAAACTAACTGAGCTATTCGAATTCTGCAAAGCTTTCCCATAGCAGCGAAGCTGTCCTCAACTGTCTCATCAACCATTGTCTCGCCACGACTGTGAACCCTCCAAGTGAAAATGCTTATTCGTCCCCGTTTCTTCCATCACTAAATTCAAATGCAAAAGTAATTCTACCATTCAGCACCATTCCGAGCCCGGCCACTGACCTGCGGACGCCGCCCAGAGCAGTGGCTGTCGTCCGTCCTGATCTGTGACCGTGACGTCCACACCAGCGTCCACCAGTTTCTTCAGCGCCGCCAGCCCCACGCGCACGTCCGTGGCCATCTCTACCCAGACGTCACGTGAAACGCTTGTTATACGGGAGAATGGGAGTTAAGTTGAACTTAGGGGGAACACACACAAAAAGAACATATTGACGCATTAGTAGATTGAGCTTAGTAGTTTGTCAAGCAAAAGGCATGAAATAGGCCGTCTCCGTCCTGTCTTCGCCGCGCCTGCTGTGTATAATGAGGATACTGAATGATGCTGTGCCGCATTACACTTGAGCGCTGCGGCACAGTCTACCATCCCAGTAGACGGCAGAGGGAAGCCTGTTGTGCCGTGGCACTGGCAAGACCACTCGTTAGCATCACAATAAAGGGTTGAATACAGAATGAAGTCTTTGTGATGTTCACGAACTGTTATTTGGCTACTCGTGACAAGTGCCATTTGAATTATTTTATCCCGTGATGGTTTGTTTGCACGCAAATATGAAGAGTACCTTTGCTCTCATAGCTGTGATTGAAACTAGCAAACCGGCATAAACACTCTAATCGCATTAGCAAGTGACCATGGTTATTTCACTAGAATTGAATAACGGACATGCAAGAGTTATTATTCTCCTAACATGAAGTCGTTCGTGCATGACAATGCTGGTCCTCCTAGTTTCTCATATTTTTCATGAATAAACTGCAGTAGTGATTTAGTGTCTGATTATAAAACACTTAATCATTAGGTATATGGTAATGTTATACATTTAACAGTAATATTTTACCGGAGTTGGGTCCACACATCTGCGCCGCGTAGTGGACCGGGTACGCTCCGTGGATGTCGGGGGTTGACGGGTTGGCCCCGGCCTCCAGGAGAACATCCAGGATCTCCAGCTCTCCGCACACTGTCAACATGAACCGTGGGGACGGGCGAACAATAACCTCCAGGATCTCCAGCTCTCTACACACTGCAGACAGACAAAACATGTGGACGGGCGAACAATAACTTCCAGGATCTGCAGCTCTCTACACACTGCAGACAGACAAAACATGTGGACGGGCGAACAATTAAGTCCAGGAGCTTGCAGCTCTCCGCACACTGTCAACATGAACCATGGGGACGGGTAAACAATTGGAATTACATTTACACGACACTTAGCAAGGTGAGCTATCTATTGTATTGTATTGACAATTGCTGACAACTCCACATCACTCATTGTGGCTATTCTGTGTCACAAGTCAAAAGATAAAAACGATCAACGGGAAATATGGTTGAGGGGTAAAAACAGGCACACAGTCAAACAACACTCATACGTCAGAAAATGCTAACCCCGTCCACCCTCCCCACCCCTATTGCACACCACCGACTTGACTGCTCGCTTAAAGCGTGCCGGGTTCAGCTCCAATGTGCTCGCAGGCAGTTCGTTCAGGAGTGATGCGGCACGGTAGGTAAAAGACCGCTGGCCGGCGGCTGTACGCATGAGTGGAGGCCGCAGCCGCCGGTCCTGCCGGGTACCACGATCACAGCGCTGACGTGAGTCCACAAATGTCACAAACTGGGATGAGATGTCCGTGGGCTCCCCGCACACAATCGCCTTCTGAGCCACAGTCATGGTGGACACGTCACACATCAGTCGAGGGGAGATAAAACCAAGCTCCTCCCGCGCGCGAGACACATGGTCATACTTCCGCAGGCCAGTGACGACTCTGGTGGCGAAGTTAACCACGCTCATCAGTCTAGCGTCATTCTTGGAAGTGCCACAGCCATAAATCGCAATACAGTACCTCACGCGCGAGAGGACCAGGCCGTCAACCACCGTGCGCATCACATGCCGCCGACATACTCCATACTCTGCCGACAGACAAACAATGGGGACGTGTGACGCTGCAGCTTTCGGGCACATGAAGGGTGGATTTAACAACAGGCTAAGTATCATGCAGTTGATTTCGACGTATGTAGAGTCAAAGATAGTCATAGTTAAATGGATAAATATGCAGGGGCCGATGCAATGCGTTTTTATATATCATGCCGGAGAGGCAAGGATGGCAACTTCAATGCCTTATAAACCACGTATAGTCGTATAGGTAGGCAGTATACTAATTAACCCGCGCCGGGCCGGGGGGGGGGTGTTTGAACACCCCCTTTGCGGTTTTTCGCGGATATCTAAAAAAAACGGCTGCGGGGAGCGCCGCCGTTTTTGGCACACCTGTTTGTGCATCTTTTCCGCACATGTAAAAATTTCAGACCCTAGTCGCCTTAGGTCAGGTCACCAGGTCACGCCAAGTGACCTCACCTCATAAAAAATAAGAATGCTAGTCATTGCTACACCGATTGATCGATTGCCTTGAAACTTTCAGCGATTGATTAGAGCAACATTATCTATAAAATGTATATCTCGGAATTTTGATATCGGTGACCTAAGGTCAGGTCAATTTTGCGGCCTCTCCATTACCTTTAGTCAATGGGATAACATTGAAAAGCGTCTGTTTTGCACGAACGCTATTCTAGACACTCTCAAACATCGAGATGTAGGTAAAATTGACACACTGAACCGGAAAATGGCAACTGTGACCCCTTGTTATGTCCCCGATGTCATCTCAGGTCACGAACAGAATCTAACAGTTTTTCGCTAATAACTTATGATAGAGGCGTGCTAGAGCGCTGAAAACGCCTTAGATGTGTTCGGCTCGACGTTGCTGATCGACTGATATGCAACATGACCTTTTCCGGTCAGGTCATGACCTTGAGTTGAGGTCAAATTTTGAAGTTGACCTTTCAAGGTCAAGTTATAGTTCATTCGACGCGTTTCGACAAGAGGAACACGATGCTGGCAAAAGTAATGCCATGGCTCTTTTGAGTCAAAAGTTATTGTCGAAAAAACGTGTTTCGTAAAAAAAGGCTATTTTTGGGGTTTTTGTCCTCTGGAGGCTAAACCGTTGACCTGAGGTCAAATCGGAGAACATTATTCAGAAAGGTCTATAAAAGGGCTATCGAATGCGCTTTTCCGCGGCGCTGTAGCTCTATCTGTTCTCGAGATAGCCGCTGGCAGTTTCTAAAACGTTGAAATAGTCAACATTTTACCTTTGGTGACCTCTGATGACCTGACCTTTGACCTGACCCAAAAATGGACGAAGTGTTTTCGTCCTTATTTTGGACGTTCTTTCGATTGCCGCTTACAGCGTGTCGCTACGTGGCCCAGAAGCCGAGTTAGAAGGGGGGTTGTTCAGATTCAGACACCCCCCCCCCCCCCCGGCCCGGCGCGGAATCCAGAGCACCGGCCTGGCGCGGGTTAAGGAATGCCTGAGTGATAGCACGAAAAAAGGAAGGAAAGACATGCTTGAATCATACGTTACACTCCCTCTAGTCGTTCCAGGTCAACATACGGTATGTCATTTTTTAATTTCACTATCTTAACCCGCGCACCGACGGGGGTCTGCGCCAACTTCGTACCCACGGGGGGGGGGCGGATGACCGCCCCCCCTGAGATCTCGAGAACGAAGCAAGATAGCGACAAGCGGTAAACGGCAAGGGATACGCACGGACAAGGTCTACAATTTTTACTAAGATCATTTTCAGGTCAGGTCAAAGATGACGTCACAGGGGTCAAAAAAGTCAAAATGGCGGCGCTAGGTATGGAGAGAGTTTTTTCTCAAAAAACTTTCGAACTAGTCAATATAGGAACAAACTAAGGGCAGCATCGTGATCCTCTCGTCAATCCGCATCGAATGGTATATATGTTGACCTCGAAAGGTCAAGGTCAAAGGTTGACCTCAGGTCACGTGACCTCGAGGTCATCATGTATATCATTCGATGCGCCTTGACGAGCTGAATACAATGAGACCATCCGCGCGGCTGTATCTTGTTCCTGTACGGAGTTATTGTCAAAAAACCGCTGGTGACCTTTGATGACGTCACGTGACCTTGCAGCTGCCCAACAGCAAAACAGACCTCAAGGTAGTGAAGGTTGATCGTATATGAGGTCATGTATGGTTTATGGGGCCATTCCGACCCGTTTTAGTGGTAAAAACAGGGAATTGATTTTTCCCCCAATGACTTATAATGGGGAGGTCGAGAAATTGACCTGACCTTAGGTCACCGATATCAAAATTCCGAGATATTCAAATTGTAGCTACTAATGACCTCATAACATCCTGTGACTTTTAAAGGCCTCCGACATCTACTGTAGCTCTGGCACGGTGACAAAGTTGGAAAAAAGTGACTTGAGGTTGGGTCATTCAAAGTGACCTGGTGACCTGACCTTAAAAGATAGGAGGTTCAAACTTGCACACCATGTGTAAAATTGATGAGAGAATATTCGTACCAAATTTCGTGGCGCTACGCGCGGCGGTTTTCCCGCTATTTGCGAATAACCTCAGGGGGGCGGATATCCGCCCCCCCCCCGTTGGTGCGCGGGTTAACGTTATCTCTAAAGTCTCAACACCGCTGACCTAGCGTCATCATCTTTTCTATACGCTGTTCCGTTTCAAGCTTGCAGCCGAAGTGCCCTGCTGAAAGCAGTTCGTGATTTCTGTATATACAGCAGGGTATATACAGCTCTTACATTTTAAGACGCAAATTCTTGAGCGGAGGAGCGATCTGCCGAAGAAACTCCGACTGCAAGCTTGATATGAAACAGACTATAATAGGAGCTTCCATGAATGTCTGAGTTACATCATCGTGTTTTGTGTCATTTGATTTCGCTGATAAAGAATTTAGTGAATCACATTACCAATTCGTGAAGTTATGCGGCGTTATACAGTCGTGTGGCGATCTAACGTGCCATTGGCATGACTCATTGCACGGCAAGTCTCCCTGGTGACATTTATCAAAGCTCCATGCCTCTATTGCTGCACTGAGATCGAAACTTGCAGCCTCCCTATGAGTGCCCCATGAATGGACCTGCAGTGACGGTCCCACGCCAACCGACAAAACGTGAGACCCAGACAGTCAAGGTCATGAAAACAATTACAGCAGGTCGATACATGCCCCGCTCGGTTAGTCAGCCAAGGTCAGAGGTCTGGCGGCGTCATCGCACGCTCTTGCAGTAAAAAAAAAAATGTCTGCCGCTTACAGATGCAAGTTCTTTTGATAGTGAATACACACAAACTGAAATACGAACGCATCGTTTGCATGCAAAGGTCCATTGTGCCATTAGACTTCAGTATTCGTTTGTCACGCAATGGCTGGTCGAGTTAGCACTGAACACCTCATTGCCTTTATGTCTGTGAAATGACGACTGTGATTTGGCCCGAACACGAGACCGACACGAGTTCAAGGTCACCGCGTGTGTGGAAAATGGGTGATAGCTGCCGCCAAAGGTTAATAGTCGCTGGTTCGAAGTTAAAGTCGTCACGTTTCGACTCTCGAAAACGACGCGGTGATGTGACCAAAATTGATCTGAAGCCAACAGTATTCTGTCATGGAAACACGAACAAAATTAATTCGCGAGTCATAAAACAGTTTAGTATGAGTGTATGGAATACGATACTAAAAACAATATTCCAAATGTTGTATGGGTAAATTAAGCAAGGGTACTGATCGCTACAATTTCACATCATTGACTGCTAATTAAAATGCTTCCAGCGTAGCTCCTCGATATAACCGCTGCCGTCAATATACTGCGCCGCTCCAATGACAGCAGGTCATAAGGTCGACCGGACAGCTGATTATTGGGTCCCCGGGCGGGGGTCAGACACCACGGCCGTCAGACGCTGCGTGAGACATATCCGACGCGGCTAATTGCTTTTCCCTGTGTGGCGCAGCGGCCTGCCACAGAGGAGGAATTTCTGAAGGCCGCATTGAACACAAGTCAATGTCATAAGCCTTTCCGATTCCTGGTAATTTATGCTTATAACCATGCAATATGTTGCATAGCAACACTGGTACATTTTGACATAAATCGTA